CTTTCAGATGTCTCCTGACAGTTGGAAATTATAAAAACCAGTATTTCAGTATGAGTCACCTTACCCTACGAATACACAGCAAAATGTCACAACCTATCAATGTGTCTGCTGAGGGAAATTTCCATTTCTGGGCAATGGATTTGAAAAGCATTACAAGTAATGTGACTTTAGAGGGTTTTCAGACAATAAGTCATAAACATTGATGAGATGATTATGATTCATTATGAATGTATAATGTTGTATCAGAGCTGATAAAATGCATCAGTAACCATTGTGGGTTCCTAAAAACAAGGTCAGGATGTACTGTGAATGACTTGAGTGCCCTTATATGCATTGTAGAAGTTATGTTTAAAATCTAGTAGACTTCTTAAGCTCTTGTTTTGCATTTTCAGGTGTTTACACTTTGCTGGGTATGTGTTGTTTGCAGCTCCTTTTTTGTGGTCAGCACCTCCTCAGCAATGGTGTTCATGTTGCAACACTTGTCTGTTCACAGAAAGTATTGTCAGTCAATCAGTCAATCAAACTTTCTTAAACCCCCTTTTATATACAGTACATTAGGTGACTAATATAAATAAGGCAGTAAAATTTTTTTTGCCCACCTATAAAATAAAATCAAGCAAACAGTATCTGTAAAAACAGCTGTAGAATATAACTTACATTTTCTTCAGTACTGAAGTGCACTAAAAATTTAGTTTAATAATTTTGACTAATTACTCACATTAAGATGCAGATTAAGTTTTACTGATCACTTATTAAAAAATATGATGCATTGTTAAACAACCCTACAGTATGTAAAGTTGTTCAAACTAGCTCCACCTCCACAAGCCACAACATTGAAATTATGTTTTTATGTTAAAACATTAATTGGAATAATCAAATAATATATACAAAAATACTGCACTCTGAAAGGTTACTTTTTATTGTGACGTACCTTTGGCTGATAAAACCTCTGCACTTTGATTCAAGTATAGATTTGAATGCAGCATTTTTTCTTTTGTCAAATTGATACTTTGAAGAAGTTTCAGTTCCTCTGCCACTGCCTGTGACTTCATAAGCAAAAGTCTGACTAAAAAGATAAGTTTCAGAGGAAATGTTTGATGCTGAATATGTGTACTCGCCTTTTTGCTGAACTTTAGATGAAAAGATCACTTAATAAATGAGATGCTAATGCCATCAGACAGTTAGCTTAGCTTAGTGTATAGACTGGAAATGGGGAAACAGCTAGCAAGTCATTACATTGCATTACATTTACTCATTTGGCAAACTTACAGGTGAGGGACATCACTAGAGCTTCAGTGCAGTAGGAAACTTTGGCGTAAGTACTAAGTACTACATCTATTCAGTAAGTGCAAGGAGATCAAGTAAGAGAGTGCATCCAAAGTGCACAGTAAGTGCTAGTTAGGCATGTTAGGCTGTTAGAGGTGTTAGGAGAGATGAGTCTCCTTCGACATTCCTTGAAGGAACGCAGTGGCTGGTAGGGAGCATAAAGCTGTATGGTAGAGTTCAAGTAAAATTGGTGCAGACCCAGAAGTTACTCAGAAGGCAAGCATTAGTGACTAGAATTTGAATTTGATTCGGGTGGCCATGGGTAGCCAGTGTAGGTTTAATGAGATGACGTGCCCTTTTAGGCTGATCGAAGACCAGACGCTTGTTGTTTTTACGCTTTGTTTTTGGCACGCGCATACACCCACACACACACACACACACACACACACAGACACACACATGCACGCCTATAAATATATAAAATATCTTGGTACTCCTCACTGCATAAAACTTTCCAAGCAAAAGCCAGGCTTAGAAGGAAAGTTTATGTTTAAAGAGCAGACTGCTCCTACACCTTGAAGCAAAAGAGCCAAAGAAAAAACCTGTCTCTCTTTAGTTTATTCTTATTTGTGAATTGCAAAGACAGACCTTGCCAACCAGACTCTTTGTTCTTTCTCTCTGTCTGTGCAGACCACACGTCTGTACAAAGGTGAGTGGTATTAGATTGTACTTCAAGATATAGAACAGCCCAGACAGTGGTGCATGCAATGATGCTGAGATTTCTTTCTTTATTTTCTTTTTGTGCACGAATGCCGGCGATGTCAGATGCCAACACTGTTCTGTTACTCAGACTGATAGTAGCATATCAATCAAGTGTCGCGACAGTGTGAAATCTGTGTGTGTGTGTGTGTGTGTGTGTGTGTGTGTGTGTGTGTGTTTAAGAGGGCTGGAGGATTTGGTTTAATTCAGCTGCGAATGAATAACAGCAGGAAGAGATGGTGCAGGTGATCAGTGGTTTTCCTCCTCTGAAGAAAGGGGTGATAAGGACCCACAGAGTTAAATAAGTTAACACAGTCTTTCACAGGCAGGTTTGCTGGTGTTTTACTGCACACACATTATTACTGGCTGATCACCAACTACCTTTTTCCAGCTGTATTTCCATGTGTCCGTAGAAAAAGTGACAGAGAAAGACAGCACGTTGAAAATGATGCCAGTTATACATCTGTGAAATGTATAAATACCTTTTCTGTGAAATGTTAACAATTCATTGTCAGTAAAACACATTAGCTCACAGACAGTAGGGCACACAAGACTGAAATATTCCAGACTCCTATTCCAAACTCCACTCCACCTCCGCCTACCCTCAGGGAATAACCACTTCAGGTAATTTAATTAGCAGGAAAAAATTACCTCCAGCTCCATGTTCATGTGATTACACCGGGTTTTAAGAGATATACTCAACTCCATGTCAAGTGTTTGCCCTCAAAATCAAATGTTGCGTGCAATTTGGGTAATAGACTGAACTGTGTTTTACCTTCCGGAGATATGATCATCCATGGTCAGAATCAAGTCGGAGAGCGAGACTGGAAGTAATAAGATCTTTAATGTTGCTTAGAACATCCCGACAAAGCGTCTCTCATCCATCTGTGCGGCTCTGAAGCTGATTTGTATGATTTGTTAATGTAGATTCAAAAAATCCTGATTTGCTATCCCTTCATCTGCTTTTCAGTCTGTCTTTTAAAAGAAAGTAACTCAAGAGAAACTTAAAAAGAAACTGAGATATGATAGTTTGGCTTGATTAACACTTAGATACCAATTACTTGAAACGCTTTGAAAGACTTTCAAATGGAGATTAAGGTGAGATGTGCACGGAAAAAGTAACTTTAAAGACCCCCTCTGAAGAAAATCAAGTTTTTAACCTTGTTAATCTGTCCATATGGAATTTTTGTATGTAATACAAGACATATGAGTGAAATAAGCAGAGTGTAAGATTTAGCATTAGCAAAACCACCAACAGAGCTGTGTGACGGTCTGGCCCATGGAGGATTTTTGTTTTGCATCACCAGCTGTGCCCGCCTTAACTGTTGCATCACAAAGCACAGCTTCTGTCAGCTAGCAACCTTTGACAACACCTAACTTCTTTATCACAGTAACTTGACATTTTAAGACCCGTGGTTTTTTAACAGTTGTACCGTTAGCTGCCTCTGTCTCAGTGCCATATTCTCGCGAGATCTAAGGCGCAAATTTGTCCGTGTTGTATCGTCTATTGTTGTATTCTTTTGGCAGGGACAAGTAATCCATCAGTTAGTGCTAAAAATGCCTGAGCTTTGTGCAGCAATAGGCTGTAATAACTAGAAAAACAGATCTGTCTTTTCTTTCCCAAAGGATGCAGAGAGGTAATCTGACAGGGATAGATTTTAATATTATTTTTTATGTGGGAAAACCATGTTAAACAAAATATCGATCATAGCAGAGTATTTTTACATAGTTTAAAACATGTCTGGAGAGGAACTTTAAGGGATTAAACATCATAATTTGATATATATATTTATATATATATGTATGTATATATGTATGTACATACATATATATATATAGTATATCTAAGAGCCCTGGTAAACAAAACAAGATATGATTCAGGTTTTATACACTGCAATTTAAAGGAGGTGAGTAGATGGAAAAAGGCATTTAATTCATTTTAATGGATGTTTGTCCCCTGCAGGCCGACCTGAAGATTGATTCTTCTGGTGTGTGTGTGTGTGTGTGTGCGCGTGTGTGTGTGTGTGTGAAATAGAGAATGAAAGAGGATGAGACATCTCTTTTCTTTGTTGTAAAAGCCACTTTCACAGGCTTCAGAGTTTCTCACTACGGCTGCCAGTTTCATACCAGACGAGTCAGAAAGCCGTTAACCAGCTACCTGCCGTCAGAATGTGTTGGTAGCAGTGTTTCTTTTTTGCTACGTCAGGTCATTTTATTCATTGTCAATCTCCTGTGCTGTGAATGAGTCAACACCTTTCTACTTGTACAGGAAATAAAAGATGGCAAATTCGTATTGACTGTCCTGAAATGATGTGTAATGCGGAGCCCTCACAACGTCTTTCTCAACCACATGTGTTTCAGTTCTCCGCGCAGGGTGACAAATTGTGTTCAGCAAATACATTGAAAAAAACACACACACACACACACACACACACACACACACACACACACACACACACACACAGTGAATTAGAGGTGCATTATGCCATAAAACAACACCCAGAAATGAGTGATTTTCCCAAACTGCTGGGCACCAGCAGTAGCGAGACAGGCGGTCTCCAAGAGGCTCCAGCGGGGATGAATGATGCATGGCTTTACTGTTTCCCAAGGCGATCTGCTATAAGAGGTGGCTGAGTGACTGAACAGACTCGTCCCGTGTGGTGACTTGGACTTGGAAAAAAAACAGACTCTTGGCATCTGAGAAGTAGAAATTCTAAGAGACATGCAAATCCGCAGTGACTCTCATGCACGGTTATTGTTTTAGAAATCAAAAAGGAGAAGTGGTTCTACACACAGCTACAGTATCTTTGTGTGTGTGTGTGTGTGTGTGTGTGTGCATGTACACATATAGTAAGCGCACAATGGCACATGCACGTCAGTGTCAGCTGTAGAGGGTGTGCACCTCTAACCATAAACCACAGAACATGCACATACACACATTTGCACGCACTCATTAAATACCCTTATGCCTGACATACAGTCAGTTGATCCAACTCTATTTCACTCGATGACACCATCATGGGATGCTCAGGACTGTTGATTTTGGGTCTCATCCTAAATGTTGCTCACTGCTTGGAAATTCAGGGTAAGTCTGCAGGGTTACAATCCATCTGTGACTGTCAGCTGTTTATAAGCTTCTTTTACTGGCCCTTGAGGTCTTATTTAACCTGTGGCATTTACACTCAACAGTGCTGCCATGGTTTTCTTAAGCGATTAGTCCAATTATAAATGCACACAGGCAATAAAGCCACATTCTGGATGCATGTTTAAATGATAACTATTTTTGCAATTTATTACTGATTGCATATTTGTTTAATTACTCTGTCAGTTCATTATTATTGATCATTATTGATGGTGTCATCTAAAACCACATTAGTTCCTTTACAGGCTTTTAAAGTTAATATATGAGGGTTGTTAAGATTGTTCTTTTCTTTGTGAAAGGGGAAAACTCTCTGCAGGCTACACTTTATTCAGAGATCCTGCTGTTTGGTTTTGGGTTCAGTCTCTGCAGAGTCACGGAGACTTGCAGCTGGAGATGAAAGTTTAAACGGGTGAAAAAGCTGTTTTTCAAGTCGAAACTCTTATTTGTTTACCACATCCCCAGTCTGCAAAGAAGGACTTGCTGTGTCTGTGTTTGGTGCTGCTTTTGGTGAGAAAAAGAAGCCCCCGAGGCCCAGGAAATATGATGCAGTGCATCAATGCATGATTTTTTTTCCACAGTTATTACTTATTTTGTATCCTTAAGGTGTGTCTTTTCCATGCTTGGCTGACATTTATTTTGGCAATAACCTGCAAGGGCAAATGAATTATGAACCCACTAGGCATAATTGAACTGATAAAACATATTTATTTTACTCCCTCTGTGTCCTTTCCTCTTAAAAGGCTTTGGAGACTCCACATTGTTTCCATTTGCTGGGATCTATAGTAAGACCTCCAGCCTCTCAGCTTAACAGCATTTTATGCAGTTTCTTTTCGACTGCAGCAGCCGGCTGCATGTTCAATGGTTATCCATGAAGCAGACTGTCATCATTTTACTCATCATGCACCTAAAGCTGAATAGAAGTTCCTGGCTGATAGAGCAAACTGTGCCCTCAAGTGCACTTTGATGAAGTCAGCAGAGGAAGCAGAGTGAAGAGGACTTGGTATGCATTGGATTCTGCACACAGTCCTTCCTGCAAGTGCTAAAACCCGTCAGCTTCTATTAAATGTCCTTTCCTCTGAAACCTCCCCTAATCGGAGCTGATTCCTCAGCAGCGTGGAGGAAGGATGTCACTGGTGTCTGGGTTTTCATTACATTAACATAATGGAGTCCTATTAAATATACACAGCTTGGACAAGGCAGCATTTATAAATTGTGTGCCACAAAGTCCATTTCCTGTCTTTTGCATCTTTTTTTCAAATTCATTTTTCCTTTCAACATTTATGACCTGACTATCCTGAGTACTAAAACAATAATAATTTAATTTACATTTCTATTTTCATTTTCATCGAAATTATCTTCTGTAGGTTTATGACCAAACTCCTGCAAAACTGAGGACACCAACTACTTAGCTCATGTTAGCATGTAAACACACCTTAAGCATCAGCATGTTAGCATTGTCATTGTAACCGTGTTAGCATGCTGACATTACCATCTAGCTCAGCACACTGCTAGCATGGCTTTAGGCTCTTAGTCTTGTTTTTATTGATTAGTCATTCACACTTTCTAATCATGATAAAATGACTGACAACCTTGTAACCACTGACCCGGTTAGTCTGCCTCATCTATCACAGCTTGAATTAACCAGTGAGAGACAATAGGATGCTCAGAAACCCCTTTCATAGGCACAACAATAGACATCCATCAGCCTGCTGTCTGTCCTCTCAGGAACAACAACAATCACATTTTCCCCCCTCAAGACATTTGTGCTTTGCTTGTGTTTGTAATTTCAGAATGGTTCGGGTGAACTTTTGACCTCTCATTATCACTGAACATTGTGTTGCTCTGTTGCTCTGTGTCTCAGATTCGAGTGAAGAGCCAACCCTTGAGATCACGCACAACGTCACTGCAGTCCTGGGAGAAATGATGTACCTGAGCTGTAGATATCTGGGCAACAGAGAGGTCGAGAAAGCCGAGTGGAAACGCAAGATTAACTCTTATTCTAAATCCAAGGGGCTGGCAGGATTTCAAAATGGTCAGCCGTTCAGCCGAAGTGACTTGTCAGAGCCAGACTCTATCACCAACCTCACAGTTAACATGCGGGTGTCCAGTGTGGACGTGGAGGGAGAATACATCTGTGAGTTTGAAACAGAGATGGAGGATTTTTCTGACAGTGCATTTGTCACTGTAGTAGGTAAGCCAAGCCGATAATGTGTTATTTTTTATATTTGTGTGAAAAAGTCAACCTGATGAGGTTGAGAGGAAAATTTCATACTCTAAAAGGTCATAACTGCAGCACTAGAAATGATCTTTGACCCAAGACACATCTGCATGGATGACATGTTTACTTGTTAATTCATTCACAGCTCGTCCTGATATACAGATCCTCGTCAATGCAGAGACCATAAACGGTACTCACTACCAGTCGGTGTCATGCTCTGCCATTGGCGGCAGGCCCACGCCTCAGATCCGCTTGTTGGTCAATGGCCTTCCTCCCTCAGATTACCCCTTCACTGTGAGTGTGAGTAACACAGCTCACTCAAACGGCACGTCCACCCTGAGTAGCATCCTCCGCTTCCCCACCTACCTGCAGGACGAGGACAGCGTGACCTGCGTCGTTCAACATCCAACCCTCCCAAACCCCAAACACACCACAGTGAGGGTGGAAACTTATGGTACGCTCAAATGTACAGCTGTGTGTGTGTGTGTGTGTGTGTGTGTGTGTGTGTGTATCTCAGTGTTGTTGTGGGTGATATTGTGTATATATTGTGTTGCATCACCAGCCAGAGTTTTGTAATCATGTATCATGACTCAGCATGAAGTCAGAGGGAACAATAACTGCCTCCTGCTGGTTTTTCACACTGGTCGTTGCTTCTCACTCTGCTCCACATACGCAGTGACAGACTATAAATCACAATGCACAGTGTAACGCATTCATGTGGGAATGCCATCTTTCACTGGAGCCGAGCATATGGAACAACATAATGCAGCAACAACCCAGTAAATAATTAATAACAGTCATATTGTATCATATCAGAGTGCAGCATGCAGTTTGGTGGCTGCAGTTCTCCAAATTCTTATGACCAAAAAAGAAAACAAAATGTACTTACTCAATGCCAACAAAGTTCTTGCACATCATAACTAATGATAAGTGCATAGGATCAACAAATATTAATTGAGTAGGAATTAGAAATCCAGCACGTTCACTTTATTTAGTCACAACATTTTGGTCCATAGACTTTCATCAAGTACATTTAAAGCAGCCACAACCAATAATGACAGTGGACAAAATTACAGTGTGTATGTAGGGAAAGGGGTTGATCATGATGACGAGGGATTATGAGCCGGCTGTAGTTTCTCTCAGAACTATGGAGCAATTTAACACCTTTCAGCGCGTTGTTTTGGTTTTCAGGCCTGCACCCACTTACCAACGTTGTTCTCGACCAAACAGCAGATCAGCAGTCAAAGTTAGCGAGTTGGTGGAGAACAAAACAGAAGTAAGAGGAGAGAGAATATCAGACTGCCATTCATCAATGGACACGACTCAAAATCAACATTTATGTTTCTCTGCTGGATGGAGGATGTCTGTTTGTATCAAATTTACAACCAGAAAATGTGTCAGTGTTGTGTTTACATCTTGTTTCCACCGCCTCCAAGTGGCAGAAATCAGTTAACGTGGGCTTAAAATGGAGAAGTATTTAACATATGAATTTACAAATGTTTGTTAAATGTTTACATAACAACAAGGCTCATGCAAAACTTTAAAGATTATCTTCAGCACAAATCATCATTAGGAAACAGCTGGTAGGACAGATGCAAAACCCCACATGAGTTTGGTTTTGTTGCCACCTCCGTGTTTCACAATCGGACCCAGTAATGTTTAAATTTATACCCCATATGTAGGCCCTAGTTTTCATAACACACATTAGATAAAATAGGTGGCAAAAACAAACCGAGAGGATATTTTTGTATGGTAGATCATGATACTTCAATTTGGTCATCAACCTTGCTTGTCATGCCACCATATTAAGAGAGATGACATCCACTACAAAAGAAAAATAAACTGTTCTACTACCACTGGCCACAGACTTATTAGCTGCTTTGCCTTCGAAGCAGTTCAGTTATTGAATTTTTTACTCATTCATTTGACTGTTTATTTCTGTGTGCTTAATGTTTTTAAAAAGGGCCTTTGCTTCCACACATTCTGTCCAAATCCTTCCATGGATACAGTGTATGTTCAAATGGCTGACTGTATGATAACTATTCCATTAGCATGGGCCAGGCCAGCCAGCTCATTTATCCATGATACATTTACACTCCACTAAAGTACTGCAACTTCAGTAATTTTCTAGTCCACACATGACTGTAGGTGTTAACAGATGGACTATTTAAAGCCTGTGCTTTTAACTCATTTTAATTGTACAAACCCCTCCCCGGCACCCGAGCCATTATGAGGTGTTAGTTCACTTCTCTGACTCATTAGGGATGGCTGGTTATTGCATTACACCACAACTTTTATGTATTTGATAATAGACTCTGATCTCTACGTATTCCCTATATCAAAGCCTGTGGTTCTCTCAGCTTTGGTTGGACAGCAGCTGGTCCAGACATCTGCTCTCAGCTGTAGCCCGGCCAACAGATGGGACAGGTGATAAGCCTAAGTCAGCACTCTCCAAAACCCAAGCAGAAGCCCCTTATGGCCTGTGTTTAGCTAACATTCAGCTCATCCGGCCCCAGCTTCCTATTTAACAAAAACACCCTGAGCCTTCACTTGCTATCTGACTTTTTAATTTGCTGGAAAAAACATTAGACCTTGTGAAAGAATAACTCTTCTTGCCTTTCTTCCTGCTCTGCAGTGAGGCCAAATGTGACCGTTAAAGCAGAGATGGTACAACAAGGAGGAAATGAGTTCTGGGTGGTCTCATGCATTTCATCTGGAGGGAGACCTGACGCTGACATCTCCTTGGCTTTGAACATTGATGAAGAGCTGCAGAGAGAAAACAACACGGACTCAGACATGTCAAGAAGCTCAGTCTTCCTCCCTGCAACTGCATACGAGGGCTATAATGTCACCTGTGTGTTTGACCACCCCAAATTTACACACAGCGAGACACGAGTCCTAACACTGCCGTCTTTTTGTGAGTAGTCTGTGTCTCACATTTGGAAAACTCTCCTGATGTTCATGAGGTAGAAGTCAAAGAAAACACAGATGTTCTTTTTTTTCGACAGATTTGTCTGGGGTTCACTTGGACTCGCAGCCGGGGCTCAACAGTGGCGACTTCCAAGGTGCTGAAGTTTTAGAGCTGCAGGAAGGACAGAGTGAAATCGTTATTGGCCTACAGGTCATTGGGAATGTGCCACGTTACAATGTTACCTGCAAAAAGTAAGAAATATTTGGTGTTAAAGTTGGACTCCATCAATTTCACACAGCTTCAGTTTACTTGTCATGGAGTGAACTACTTAACCTGTGAAAACAGTAACTCTTCTGTTAGAGGAGTATAAAAAAATTCCCAACAATGTCATCAGGGTTATCTGAATCTTAATTTTTTATTTATTTATTGAGAATTGCAATTGTTTCAGTTTCATGTGGGAGGGAAGGTACTGATTGGAAAGATTTCCCTGTTTGCAACTTGTGAACGCTCCTGTCATTGGACAGCTCAAGATGGCAGCTGCTAAACAGAAGTGTCATTTGAACAAAGTGTAACAATGCTGACTGACAGTTCTCGTGTTTTACTGAGAATTAGATGAGTAAAAAAATACTGTACGCTTATAGATAGTACAATATCTATTAAATTTCAGCTTTTCACTACCATTAACAATGGCACATCCACTTTGCTTGCTTTTGCAGACACATGAACTCTTTTGTGCTAACTCAGATATAACAGAGCTTTCAGAAACATGGCACAGGGTTGTCAGTTTAGATGAGCCTGATGTAAAATCTGACAACTTCTGGCTTGTAAATGTATTTTTATTTTTTATTTTCTTTGATTTGATATAGTTATCAATGTCTTTTTTGTTTTTCTCATGGGAACAATACAAAAAAAAACCAATATGGCTAAAAAACATCCCTTTTTCAGAAACAAATGGCTTCGATTCTACTTTTTTTCTCCTGTGCACATAGACTGAAACAACGTACGTATCCTGTGGAGGATGTGGTAACACATTTGGTGCCACCAAACCACAAGTGATAGAGAGCAGGAACCAGATTTAGACTTTTTTTGATCAAATAATCAAGATTTTACGTGAAATGTTTTAACATTGGTCAAACATTTAAACTGAAGCTTGAATTGTATTTGCTGTTTTTCTCTTTAGAGATGACGGGCCCTTGCCTGAGGGTTTGGAGCTGGTTGGCAGCAGCCTCAAAGTTCAGGGTCCTGTGGAGCCTCAGCACGCTGGCCTCTATGAATGTGTCTTCTCCTATCACCACCTTAAAACAATGCTGCAACTCAACATCACAGTTCAATCACATGTCATACAGCCTGGTAGGTGAAACTCGTTGCAAATATTTCTTTCATGATGAATTTCCCTCATTATTTGTAACATTAATGTGGAACCTTCTCTCTGCGCCCTTCGTGTCAGTCCCTCCCACAATCCGAGTTGATTTGCAGACTAAAGATGGACGCAGGGTGATTGAGTGCTCAGCAGCTGATGCTGTTCCTGCAGCCAACGTATCCTGGCTTCTACCAGAGGGTGTGTCTGGAGTCTCTTGGTCCAATTTCACTTCTCATAATGGAAGCCACTCTGTCAGGGGAGTTTTTCTCCTCCCTGCCTGCTCGCCCTGGGAGTTCACTGCAGAGTGTGTGATAAATCACCCAGCATTTGAGGAGCCAGAGAACAGAAGCCTAACACTCCCTCTTTGCGGTATGTTCAACAAATCAAGCCATGGATAATTCTGAGTAGCGGACATAGTTGGCCATGTAAGCTCACCATAGATTTTATCTTCTTCTCCAGTGAAACCCCCCCACTTCCTGTAGTTTAACTTCTCTTTCCCATGCAGCTCGCCCTAACGTCACCATCAACTCCAGCACTGAGTGGAAAGATGGTGAACAGTTCACAAAGGTGGACTGCTGTGCAGACAGTGTTGCCTCTGCAGCAGCTATTACCTGGCATGTTGGAAACAGTAACAACAGCATCATCAGTTATCTGGCAGAGCCTGAAGTCCAGGCTGATGGTTTGGTTTCAGCCCGTAGCTCTGTGAACTTCTTGTCCTCTTTGTATGCTGGTCAGAATTTGACCTGCATGGTGAAGCATTCGAGTTTGGAAGCACCAGAGAAAAGAACAATACACATTCCTGTGCACAGTACGTTACTTATTTCTTTGAAATATTTCTTTCTGTGACACACACTACCTCACACAGCTTCTCATCTCCTTCCTGTCACCCCTTGTTTTCTTTCAGAAGCCCCTCTGCTGAGTGTGTCTGTGAGACCGCAGAGAGACAGCAACACTCTCTGGCTGGCACTGTGTGAATGCAGAGGGGAGGGTGTCGGGACGAACCTCGCCTGGGTTCTTCCTGAAAAGGCTAAAGGCCAGACATCGCTGCACGTAGAGTATGAAGGACGCGCCCAGAAAACCAGGCTGACATATCAGTTTCCTTTGGCCCTTCATGAGGGCCAGGACCTGACCTGTGTGTACCAGTTTGAACATGGGATCATGGAGAAGAGGACTGTTCATGTACCCAGATACTGTGAGTGTGACAGAGTTAATAAAATCATATGAATAAAAGTACACTTCAGTTATTCCAAATGTAAACATTCTCATAAATGCATTCAGAGATCCAAAGATGCATGCTTCATCTGATTTTTCTGCAGATATCTCTGCTGTGAGAGTCCTGAACCACACAACTACTCTGCAAAACCGCTACAGCGGTGAACCCGTCATCCACAGACTAGCTCTCCAGGAAAAACATCGCAACCAGAAGATACTGCTCCAAGTCGAAGGCAATGTACCACAGTATGACCTCCTCTGTAAAAGGTGATGTACCCTCTATAATCTACCACCTCATCGTCTTGAGGAAGCACCTGTACATACATAGCGCTGCACAAAATTCAATATTCCCACCATTTGAAAGAATACACTCGGCATTAAGAGTGATCATCCTAAAATATAAACATTGGATTGTTTGCACAACATTAATGCTGGAGGCCATGATTTTGATATGAATTTAAATGAGTAGTTTGACATTTTAGGGAATACACTCATCCACTTTCTTGATGAGAGTTAGATAAGACGATCAATACCACTCTCATATTTCTCTGCTAAATAAGCTACAGCTAGGAGCTGTTATCTTAGATTAGCATATAGAATAGAAACAGGGGGAAACTGTTAGCCTGGCTCTGTCCAAATGTGGCATAATTCACCTACAAGCACCTTTAAAAATGCTCACAAATGAACACTATGGCGTGTTTGTTTGTTCTGCACAAAAAACAGCATGTAGAAATGTCAGTTTGTGGTTTTATGGGGGTTTATGTGCAGTAACCATACAGGCAGAGGAGTGGTACCAATGTTCTCTGCACCTTCCTTGGCAATAAAACAAATAAGCATATTTCCCAAAATGTCAAACTTTTCCTTCAAAGAAAACTTTGACAATTAAAAAGTCACTTGTGTTTCAGGAGTGATGGCTCATTTGTCCACGTGGAAAGGCTTGAAATCGTCTTCCAGTCGGAGCTCACAGAGCAGGATGAAGGCCTGTACACCTGCTGGGCATCCTTCTATCACCACACGGCCATGGTCAAGATTCAAGTGGAAGTCATGAGCGAGGACAAACAGTTTGGTAAGTGCCCACCATGTTGTATTTTCCATCGACATTCAGCAAAAACAGTGACATGTTTATTCAAGAAATTCTCAATCATACCAACATGCTGAGGTATGTGATCAGTTTCAAGATGAGGTTTGCTGAGATGTTTGTCTAATATTTGTGGCTTTTGTCTACTGTGTCTGTGTGTTCTGCAGTGCTGGTAGCCCTGAGCTGCATCTCCTCGGCCGCAGCCATTATCGTCATTCTCATCGTCACTCTCTGGGTGTGCTGGTGAGTTAAACGCCTCCACAGGTGACAGGTTGCAGCTCGGCAGGTAATGTGTCGACGGGCAAATGAGGGCAACGCTGAGACAAACAGGATGTGTGGATCGTTTACCCAACTCACCAAAACCCCAGTATCTTGCAGTTATTCATAAACAGGAAGCAATGTGGCTGAAGCAGACAGGTGCTGCTGCCACCGCAGCCCTGCTTGTAGACAGGTAGAAAATGTTCCTTCCGTCAGTTTGAACAACAGATTTATTTTCCAGTTTCCTCCTTGGCCTCTAGAAGTGCTACTTCTGGCAATATCTGCAGTAGACTGCTGTGAGCTATCATCAATACCACAATGCAAAAGCAAAGGTAAAAGGTTCAAAAAGTACACATCTTCGGAAGTTATTAGTATAATGAAATTCAAGCTGCCATTTATCAATGAAATAAATCCACAAATCCATCTCTTAGTCTTATTGCTGCTGGAAAAAAATCAGTGAGTCACTCGTCTTTTACGACTGATGTGGGATATCTGTCACGATCCTCGAAGTGTTTATGGTTTCTGCCTGCAGAAGTTTCCACATTTCCACATTCAATGCCAATTCTTAACTTTTCTCAAGAATGTTTGTCAGGATCAGATCAGACCTCGCTGTGAATAATGTTGCACTGTGCAGCACAACAGTGGTTCAGAGGTTACTTCAATAGGCCTGCCTCTGTGGTCAGAACATTTGGTCAAGGTGCCATTGGTTGACAGAGCCTCTGTCCCATTATCCCTCGCTCCAGTGGGAGGGTCCTGTCAGGCTAATTTGGGAAGGTCACTCACACAGCGCACAACAAGCATACACAAGAAAACATGACTCCCCAGGAGAGAAGCTATTTTGGGACTAACGCCAACCCCCTGTCCCTGTCCCTGTCCCATCCAGTGCTGGGGACACGGTTTGACAGCAGCAGGTCTTCATTGAGTTAATATCACCAGGGTCATAATGTACAAAGTGAGCTGCTGCTTCTGACATCAGAGATCAATGATGAGGACTCAGGTCCTCGCTCGTCTCTATCTATATTCCTGACGCATAATGCATTCGCACCTGCAACTTGTTTAGTCAAATTGACTGTGTCAGATTAAGCCACAGTGTCATCTAGTGGTGATGTTCAGCACTACAAGTCCCTCGAAACAGGACTATTCAGATGATTAATACAACTTTTTTTTTTGTTTATGTTTTACAGCACAATAAATCACAGGACACAATATAAGGTGTGTTTAAATTATGTTTTCCCTCAGAAATATGTTCAGAAATCCTCACTTTCAGATTACCTTGGCTTCTCTGGTTTTGCTCACTGTTATTGCAAGTTAACAACTTCTGGTCCTCTTTCTTCTATCCTTCTGTCTTGCTGATGCAACACTCTCTAAAACCCAGAAGAAGGAGTCTTTCTCAGCCTTGACAACTCTGATGCAGGAGCCCGGCTCTCCTGATTTCAAGAAGCCAGCTGTGACGGAAAAAGACAGTAAGGAATACGCTCAACTGATCAGTTACTCTATAGTCATTGATGTGAAGAGCACGGTGTGAAGATAAAGGGGCTTCGGGGGGCTTTACATTGCGCACAATCTAATCATGAAGGCTTACTGGCACCGCAGCACGAGTTATGATTTCTGTGACTGTAGCATTTAAAGTGGAAGGATCCACTGTTTATGCTCTTGAACATCAGTTGTTTTCAAATTTTTACTTTTGATTGATTGGCATTAATGATTTTAAATGCATTATTTCTGCACTTTTTCACCTCACTTGAATTTTGTTTTTATGCATATTGTATTCTAAGGTTTTTTTGTCAATAAAGTCAAACAAATAATTTTTTTTCCACTTTGCTGTTTTGTGTCATTTGCAACCATATTGTACCACAATAAACGCATTTCTAGATACAGCAGAGATGACTGACAGACGTGGCTGTGACTTTGCTCACCATCTGGCCTTGTGATGTCTTTGGTTGACTACATTAATCAGGACATCTGCTGTGACAACAGGAGTAATTCTATAAATAAACTATCTTACAGTATATGATGCAGATGCAGACAGACTGAACTCACTTCCCACATTAGGTTGCAGTGTTGTTGCTCCCTCTTGTGGCAACTGATTATGCATGCAACTGAGTGAATCAGGTATTAGTCACCACACTAATAATTTCAGTTTCATTTGGAGTTTTTCCTTTGGAAATTCTCTACCATCTCTCTGCCTTTACAGTTTCTCAAGTTAATTATTTCTATTAAATAACAATATCAAAGCTAAAGTGCCACACCAATCACTCATTACTGGATAAAACTAAGTACAAATTGTTCAACACAGACACACAAGAGAGAATCATTTTGCAAACTTTGTATTTTGCATCAATAACATCACATATTTATAAAGACTTGTCAGGGTTTTCTTCCATACAACAATCTTAACCTGTACATGACTTGCCCTCTTATGAAAAGTTAGCAGGGCATACCCAGTGTGCCATGTATGTAGATTTCACCTTTAACTTATAACTTTTAACTTTTAGGGCGAGTTCTTTCTCTGATTAGAACCAACCACTAACCTCAGTGGTGTCTGCTTAAAAAAGCGAACCTACATGCACCTAGATACTGATGGCACATAATCAAATTCAATTGTAAAAACTGTATTGAAAAAAAAGAAATTATGTACATATGCTGCGCATAATTCAACTATATTGAAATCTATGAACAAACATGTATCAAAGGTCTATGATACATTTAAATAAAAGTGCACAACCTTGTGCTGCTTTAAAAAATAATAGAGTCCATTGATAAACTGATCAACAGAAAAAAATATGTGTGAAAAATGATTCACACTTTTATGTAGTTCTCTAACTCCCTCATCTTTTCTTGTACACACAAGGCTTCAACTCAAGTCCAAATTTCTTAACATTTTCCGGAGCATCTCCCGTCTTCATAAAGTCAAAGGAGTAGAAATGAGTATTCTCTGTATCCTAAAGAAAGAAAGAAAAAGAGACAAAACAGCAGTCATTCTTTACATTCAATCAGTCTCTGGGTGGATGGATTATGTCCTGCTAACTTCAGTAACTTAGCTACTGGCCATCATTTGGTTGAAGTCTTGCTCAGTTTGAGCTGTTTACATGATGTTCATCTACCTTCAGTACATTTAACTCTCTGTTGCCAACAATAAACCACTTCTCTAAATATTCTGTTCTACATGAGGTTTCCTGGCTGACAACCACATGCTATAAATAATGAAAGGAACCATCTCTGAACAGACTTCTCAAAAGGAAAAGGAAATTATGATACCTGTACTCACAGTAAACGTTGTTTAATTTCATACTTTTACTTAGGTTTCAAACACATGCCAGGTTATCCCTTTGCTTAATAAGGGTTGAGCGTTAATATGGGCTTACTATTGCATTTTGAAAGAGCGATGACAACATGTTTCTCTGTCCATGTAAACTGATGTCATCTTGTTTGTTGCCTCACCTTGGAAACCATTTTGAATCCTAGACTTGCCAGCGCAGTGATGAAGTTCCGCACGTTGTCGAATCTACTTGCCACTTCTGCTATTTTAAGGACACCGCTGCAATAATTAATTAATTAATTAATTTGTGCAAAACAGTTGGACAGACATAAAGATGAACTAAACTAAAGATGCATTCTCTGAATCGATACTACATCTTTTACCTCATCTTTAAGACTCGATTGGCCTCTGCTAAGAAATCTGCCAGGTTGGTCCCCATGAGTGAAAGGCAGAAGACGGCGATGTCCACAGAGCGGTCGCGAAGCGGGACCTGCACAGACAGAATGCGTTCTGCTTTAAAACAATCACAGAGGAAATGTACATTAATTAGCAAAAAGAAAAATGTCAAAGACCCCCACTCACGTTGGCCATGTCACAGACGGTAACCAGCTCACAGGCAGCCGCCAGGTCGAAGCTGTGCACCTTGTTCTTTACACTGCGTGCTATTTTACAGTCACCACAGCCAAAGTCTGCAACCACTAGAGAGGACGGTCTGAAAAAAGAACAGATTAGATAGGTGAAATCTAAGTCACAATCAGAGACAGACCCAAGGCAGATCTGAAGTTCACAGGAGCAAAAATATTTTATCTTCTCCCAAACTGCTTATGTTAACAAGGCCATCTCCTCCTCACAGCAGTTAACTGAAGGATCCGTTGAACAGCCACAGTGCAGCATCATCTCCTGCATGACTCCTCGCTGTCAAAACATCTTCAGCAGAGTAATGTCAGGTTTGTACTGTTTACAGCAGATAAATTATGTATATAATGGGAGCTTGGGGCCTACAGCACAATAACCTGCCTCAAGAAGAAATGTGAAGAATGTCTTATTACTCTTAGTCTTTTGGAGATGGAAAGACAAGGTCCTCTTATTCGCCTGGGAAAAGGCTAACGCTAAACAAATGTGTCTTAACTCATAAAGATGCAACTGTGCATTTATTATATATTGTATTAAATAATGCAAAAATCTACATTTGGTACACCCTGTGAATCAAATGGATCACCACACTCTGTTTTCAAACTATGATGATGGATTGTACAGATGTTGAGCTGAGATGATACAGAATCTCCTGCCTTTTCCACAGCTGGGTTCTACAGTACTGCTTTTCTCTTATTCAGGTAATGAATAGAAAATTTGAAAACGGAAAATTCATTCCCAGTCTTACTTTTGCTGTGATAAACTGTGAATTTTGTGATTTGTAATTCATTGTGTGTTTGATTGTCCAACAAGCATCAATTGAGGTGAGCAAACTAACTGATTTTGTTTTTCAAAATAACTCAACTATGATGTAAAATCACTGTCAGATGTGTGTTTCTTAAATGAGCTGCATGCAGAAAGACACTCAAATCTACTGTTGTATATTTAATAAAATAAACTATCCGCTTACTAGCTTCTGGACCTTTCAACCAGAGCTTACATCGTCTTCATCATGGAGCAAGGAGCGGGCTAAAATGTATTCATGTGAACTAAGACTTTGATTTCAAGTTCTTTGTACATGGGTTGTACTTTTTATCCCGTGACCCGAGTTCTACTCTTAGGTCATGTGATAACACCTGGGTCAGTTGCAATTGCTGAAGAAGTCCATGAGTATGTGTTTGAAAGCTTTAAAAAGCTAGCAAGTGGATTTTTGAGCGTAGACATTTTACTATACATACTGTACTTTGATTTTCACATTCCTCAGGGAAAAGAAATCGCTAATGTAAAAATCGCATGCAAAATGCTGGTGTTACAGCAATGATGAAGATTTCTCACTTTTTCTGAATGTAAGAGATGATGGCGTCCACTGGATTGGTGGGCCACCTCTGAACCTGTGCAGTGTATCCTTTGTGGTAGACCCAGAAGGCCTGTGGATCCTGCTTGAACATGCGCTTGGCCTCGCCGCTGGACGTGCTGTACAAAACCTCATTGATGTAGCGGAAACGCGCCGACTCCAAACGCTGCTCCATGCGGGACCTGAGGGAGGCCGAGCGGTCCGGTTTCACCTCTTCCTCTGGTGCTGGTGGGGGTTCGTCCTTGTGCTCGGCAGGACGCTCCTGTTGCTCTGTTCTCTGGCTGTGGAGCATTCTCCGCAGCTTCTCTCTCTTCAGACTCTGCTCTTTGCTCAGCTCGGGTTTCAGTCTTTTCATGGGTAACTGCTGCTGATCATCTGTGATGTCTGCTTGAGCTTCACATCCATCAGCAGAAGGTTCGGCGCCTTTTTCGACTTTACCACCGTTTGTTTTTTTGTCTTTTAGCATCTGCTTCTTTTCCTCTTTCAGTGTTTGTATTTCTGATACACAGGATACACCAGTGCCCTCTTCAGTCTCTTTCCTTTTCTGTGGTTTATGTTCTTTCTCCATTTTCTTTTTCTGGGCTGCCTTCTGAGAAATTGCTCCGCTGTTGTTGTTGCTATGTGAATCTGTGTTTACCTCTTCCTTTGGCTTGTGTTCATCTGCAGATTCTGCTTTATTCTCTTCCTCCTCAGGTTTATTCTGGCTGTATTTATTTTTACATTTCCTCTTGTTCTTCATTTTGTTTTTCCACTGCTGTCTGGTCAGTCCCTCTGTGTTCGTTGGTTTATTCATGTTCATCTTTGCAGAATTTGTCATTCCTTGAGCATTTGTTTCACCTGCAGGTGTTTTTACCTTCGGGGCGCCTTTAAGGAAGAAAGAACACACTTTAATTCAACATTGTTCTGTTTCTGAATCCATTAAATTCTTATGAACACTGTAACATGTGCTGTGCATGAAAATAAAAGTCTTGACTCAGTTAATTACTCACCAGATTTGTTGTCCTTGTTTCTCTTTTTTGCTACAGGTTTTTCCGCCATTACACTCTGATCTAAGTCCCCGTTCTCTTGCTGCTCCTCTGATGTCTCTGCATGTTTTCTCCTCTTCCTTCTCTTCTTCTTTTTCTTGGCATGTGACGGAGCTGCTTCTGTCTCGCTCTCACTGTCACTGTCCTGCTGGTGCTCATCGCTCTTCCACTCTGGTACTGATCCCAGTGTCTGCAGGGTCCGCAGGAGGCTCTTCTTACCAACAACCTTGGATTGAGTAGGGAAAGATCATCAGTTTAAATAATTACTCTTTTAACTAAACAATGTGTGGGCTGATGTTGGCCTGGGTAATAACAGCAAGGTTGTGTCAAAATATGCAGAAGACGGTCCAATATTTACACAGTGTCTGATTTGCAGGGTTTGTTGAAAAGAAAAAAATGTGTTAATATACAAGTGTATATATCTGGACCTTTATGTGATATACTGTATGTTCATGCATTCTTGCTTCATTAATTTATTTATTTTTCTATTATTCTATGTAACTGCGGCACATTAAGTCTTTCCATGTCTATCTAAATGCACAGATCAGAAATCATTTAGTAAAAAACTTCTCAAACATTATTCTGACAGAAATCTGACTCACTCACTGCTTTGTATTGTGAATTTAGAAAACCCAGGGTTAGAGTTGAAATTGTTCATCAATTAATGGATTAGTTATCAATTAGTTCGATAATCAATTGTTTATTACATTTCAAGCAGAAAAATGTGAAATAATACCAAATATTCCCTCATCTCAGCATCTCAAATTAGAAAATATGCTGCTTTCCTTTGTCATGTGTCACTGTGAACTGAATATCTTTGGGGTTTTGGACATTTGGCTGAACAAGACAAGACATTTGAAGATGTCAAGTTTGGCTCTGCACAGTTGTTAAGGGCATTGAGTAATGAGTGATCAATAATGAAAATAATAGTTAGCTGCAGGAGAATAAAGTTAGTTAGTACTGATATATTACTCAGCCATAATACCAATGCAATCTGTTTGCAGCAGGTACACAAACTGGATTTTATTTTACCTTGACATTTGTGTTGTTGGCCGTCTGGGTGTTTTTGAAGACAGTCTTACTCTGGGTTTGAGCGTCTTGTTCGTCGCTCCAGTCTTCATCCTCATTAAACATGTTTCTGTCAGGACTGTAAGGAACACACACATCTGTAAATCACTGCTGGGGATCGGAAGATCCTGCCCTGGTAGTATTTCATTTTCCGCTGAAAGCGTTAACTCTGCTCATTCAGTTACTCACCAGTCACCGATTCACCAGTCAAACAGCTTGTCCCGTCGGTGTCGTTGTTTGCATGCAAATGTTTTTATCTAATAAACATGTAATTACATTTAATAGGTGAAATACTTTCTTGTCAAAAGTAAAAGCCACGTTGGTTTGTCTCATGTGCGTGAAGGAAGCAAAACAGAAGTGCAGGCGCACGTAGATGATGCAAGCACACCAGAGACTTATGGGAGATGGAGTTTTAGGCGGCGAAACTACTAGGCCTATACATGAACTCAAATTTTTTGTCCTTATTCAGGGTTTGTAGTGAACAAAAGTAAATACTGACAAAAACAAAACCAGTGTCTTATTAAATATTTCTTTATAGGCTCTCCCACTTCAAATTCCAGTATTAAATAAAACAGATTTCGATGTTATAACACACTAACAAACATACCATAAATTCACACACACAGGTAAACCTAGATACCTCATGTTTTATTTTTACTTTGTAGTAATATAAGTATGTTTACACAGTATATGTCTTGTTGAATTTAAACATAATCTGATTTTTTTTTTATCTCACACATGGTTTAAAAAAACCGACAAACTGTAAACATTTTCCGTTTTTTCCTGCATTTATGTTTTATCTAACATTTTGTCAGTTTTTAAACCTTAATCCTTGTATTACATATGTTTTTATTATAGAGATGACAAATAAACCCATATTTCAATCTGAAAGTTTGTAAAGAGAGTTTCTATGTTTGAACATACTCACTCTAAAATCCAAAATAATATGCATAATATCACATTATACATTATATTATAGTATAAAATGTGTAGTGTTATAGGGTGGATTTTCCCTTTAGGAAATACACAAAAGTGCCACCTGGGCTTTGCTATGCCTTAAAAAAAATGCTTGTCACTACTATAGTCAAATAGTTCATGAAATTAGTAGTACAATCTTGACACGAAACCTCGTGTTAATAATATCGTTAGGTTTAATTTGCAAGTCAGCACAAAGGCAAAGTAATGTGAAATTTTGTGATGAATATTTTTTTAAGGTTGACGACCTGGTTGATATACAGATACAATCTCATTAGGCCAATTAAAAAACGTTAATAATGATGATAAATAAACATGACCTGAGGCGGTGAATATTTTTGACCTTCTGTAGTTCCCTCTGCCGCCTGTAGGGGGTGGGGCGCTCTCTTCCTCCTCTCACGTATGTACGGAGGCGGTGAGGGTGTGGACGTCCCCCTACATTCAATCCACTGGAGATAACTTAACGCTGCTAATAACTCCTGCTCTGTAACTGCATTACACCGGAACAGGCGAACATATCTGGTGAGTTTATCGTTCATGTTTCAGTGGGACCTGCTTAAACTACCAAATTACGTTTTTTAGTGTTATTCTCAGTCATTCAGCTTCAAATGAGTGAGCCAGTCCGCGGCGTCAGGTTAGTTGGTTAGCTTGTTAGCAAAAACCTGGGTCATTTAGTCAACCACAGGATGCTGGTTTATGTATGGAACTAAATACAGTCATTTCTTTTTTATCCACTGTAATGAAAACACACTGTGATACTGCCCGGGGCTGAAGGGATAACCAGGTAACGAAGCTGGAAACGAGCTGATCCCCTGTGTTAGCCGGATAGCAGTGCAGCTAGTCAGGCTGCTGTTAACTGTTGCCGATAAACTAATTGCTGTGAGTCCAGATTGTTGCGTGTTTATGTGAACTCGATAAACAATGACTGAAAAACAAAGTCAACCTTTAAGTCCCATTTTATTTAAACTGCGGATTTATGTTCTGTTAAGATGGCCTGCAGCTGTAGTTTTATCATCATCTACCATAACCTATTCTATTTGAGTTTCTGACTAAATCAAATATTTGAAATGTATTCCTTCATTCATAGGTGTTGTAATGGGTCTAAACTGTGATCCTACTTCTATGCTTTTTTTTAACACTTTGTCATAATCTGTTGTCTTCAGTAATGTCTTCAATTTCATATTAGTTCAGGCTGTGTGAATTATGAAATGTGGAAGAGTCATTTACATTGCATTTTCTCTTTGCGTTTACTAAGATGTTGTTTTACACTTTGATCAAATTAGGGATGCAAATAACCATTATTTCACATCAATTATTCTCTTTGGTATATAAAATGTTAGAAATTACAAATTTTTAATTTTATTTGTCTAATGGTTGAAAACCCAAGTATTGTTAGTTTAGTACCACAAAACAGAGGAAAGTAGTAAATCTTCAGAACTCAAAAGCTGTAACTAGTTAGTGTTTCAAGTTTTTGCTTGATAAATGATTTTAATCATTTATGAATTATAAAAAAATAAAATAAAATAAGGAAGTACAGAAATGAACATAACGCTGGATAAAAATATTTTTCTACCATGGTGTGCAGGGTGATAGTCATGGCCAAGTGTTGTGAGTCACAATGCTGTAGTCAGCATCCACCCAGAATTAGAGAGTTGGATAAGATTACACAATACAAAGTTTGTTGGTTGCTTGGCTCTCTTCTTTTTGGATTTATAAAACCGAACTGTATGCTGGAGTGACAACCCAATACCTGGCTGGAAAAGAAGTGGTACTAAGAGAAAAGTTTTTTTAACAGAGCAGCATCCCTGTTTGTGTTTCCCTTTTTTCAGGGTTGCTGGAGTGCTGTTGAGCATCTCCGATTGTGTCCCTCACTGTCCCAGATGAGGGACTGATGCTGGCCAGGACTCTCCTGAACCCCTTGGGCCTCCTCTCTCAACTCCTCCAGTTTAGTTCTACATCTACTCCCACGAGTGCACCATAGGAGAACAACACTCAAGCCAAAATGGATGACATCTTTACGCAGTGCCGGGAAGGCAATGCAGTAGCAGTTCGCTTATGGTTGGACAATACAGAGAATGACCTCAACCAAGGGTGAGCTAAGGTTTATTTATGTATGTATTTCTTGTCAGTGTTAATGGTATCCAGAATTTGCAAATCCAATGGAATAAAAATTTACTTTGTTAAAGTCAAGATTAGCACATAGCACACGCATGAACTCATGTCCAGTAGGCTATTATTGTCATTAAGGATGTGGTGAAAATGTGGCTTGTGGCTTAATTAATTTGTTGTCCTTTTAAACAAAATATCTGTACAGACAGAAGAATCATTTAAAAGTTATTGTCCAGCCTAATAGACTGTAGTTCAGTGTCATTTCTATCTTCATTATTTAGCCAATGGTTACTTTTGCACAATTGCACTTGACTTCCACAACACGAATTTGTGATGCTGGAATCAGTGAATCAGAATCCCGAGGCAACATCAGTTACACTACAGTATCATTGCTTACTTTAAATGCTGCAGACTTAGAGCCCGCCTTTTCAGTCCCCAGTGAGATTGTGGCCTGAGATTGAACCCATTTCCTTGTGGGCACATGTTTATGCCTGGAATGCCAGTGGAATAATTCAAAAGCATGATGTTGGACAGGAAGCACGCAGTGATGGAAGAGTTAGTTACGCTTTCAGTTGTCACTGCAAAGTCAGGCTCTAAAGAGAGAGAAAAAACCTAGACATCTGTGGAGATGTATTAATGTAAGATTTAGATGTAGAGAGTACTGAGAGCTTCTGTAAGATTCGACAGGTTGAGCACAAAAAACACCTGTCTGATAGATATAGGTAATCAGTCAATCCTGAGCTTCCTTTGTGTCTTTAACTGAGTCTGTGAAGAAAAACTTGGCAGAGCTCGCCTGTCAACTTCTGATGGCCACCCAGGATGATTGTCTTTTGGACTTTTCTGGGTTTTGACCACTGTTATTTGTTTTCAAAGCAAACAAGGACAGAATGAATTAATCCATTTAATTACAATAACTCTGTGTACCTTTTTTACCTATGGTACCTTTGGTACATTTATGGTAAGAAGGAAGGCAGAGCACATTAACAACCACTTGATTTGTCTTTTATACTGACTGATTCATTTGCAAAACACTCTGAATATGGAAAGCCCTTTTTTTGTTTACTCTGATTACCGTTGAGAAAATTGAACATAGCAACTCTAATTTCACACCTTGTGATCATGTGAAATGAATCATGATTTTTTTTTAAGAGAAGTAACTGATAACATCCACACACATAATATTTGGTCTTACTGATTCATGTAAGACAGCATATGAGAACATGGTGTTGTTTTCATGCTTTCTGGAGCACAGATGTCTTTAGGAGCATTTTGATTTACTAATTTGTGAATAATTAACTAATAGTTGTCATTTAGTCAGTGTTGTGTTTTTGTTGCAAGGCATTTTTTTCAAAAAAATCCCCACCTTTATTGCAATCTTATAATTTTCAAAAATAGTTGAATTATAATAATATGCAGTATCCAAGTATCATATCAGAACATGCAGGATGCTGCAGTCAGTTTTTTTAAGCCTCTTTCTCTTTTATTTGTTTTAATTCTCTGATCATTGTGAGACTGTATGATTGCATTAAGCCGGTGTGGGTACTACATGCATCTCCACATGACTTGTCCATTAGCTGATTACATGTCAAGTTCCCTTTTCTGGTTGATATATCACCCCAGTGGGTGAAACACATTTACTCTTGCCTTTTCATTTCCCTACAGAACTTCTAGTTCCTCCCTTTCTATATTTAAGTAAACCCACTATATCCCAGCCTATCAGATCCTCACTATATTATTTTCTTTACTGCTCATTGATGGTATGTTTACACAGATATAACTCCCACACGAAGAGTAGTAGTGGAATGCTGAATCTCCTTACAAGGAATAACACACAGGCCTTAAGGGAACCATCTACCACCTACCAAAACTGAGAGAGAGGGGGAGGAGAGTGTTGTAGTGGGCAGGACTGGAAGAGTTATGTATGACAGTGAATCTTTGTGTGTGTGTGTGTGTGTGTGTGTGGGGGGGGGGGGGGCTAAATAGTGAATTTTTTTTTTCTCTCTTCAAAAGAGGAATGCACAGTAAGCCATAACAGAGCACAGCACATCACCTTCCCCTCCTCCACTGATGTTTCTGGCATTCGTCTCCCAGCGGTATTAGATAGCTCCACTCATTTCCCCTCAACATTTCTTCAAAGTTTACAACAGTTAATTACAACGTTTGAAACTCTCCCTAATGTTGTATAGTCATCATCTCTGTCTTCTCTGAATATGTTTTGTCACTTTAGTAGGGGGTTATATTTCTGTGTTGGAAATCGGCATAGAGCATAATGTGATGGTTTTGAACCACCATTTGGTTTTTAAATTCTAAGTAAATTTAAGTTCTATGTGGAGCTGTTTAATTGATTAGTCTAGAGCTGCAACTGACAAGTATTTTCATTCGCAATTAATCTGTTCATATCATATGTCACAGAGAGAGGCAGGAAATCACCACATTTGAGCAGTTTAGATTTTGATAATATTTGGTGTTTTTGATCATAAAAAGGACTAAAATGCTCTGGTGTTTTCTTTGGCCTATAAGTGTGTAATTGTGGCTTTTACGGTTGTCTGTGTTTAGCCTCCTCATCATATATGTCCAGAAGAGGCCATGTACATGTGTGAATTATAGTTCAAGCAGAACAATTAACTTTTCACGCATGATTGCTACTGACAGTAGGACAGCACTTATTTTAAATGTTGTTGAGGTTGGGAAGCAGCATTATCAGTTTATGTTAATGAGTTTACACAGATTGTCAGGTTTAAATTATGTCTGACACAGCGGGGTTATTACACACGCACCAAATGGAATTTCACTCTGCATACCTTTATCCCACATTTCTACAAGCATGTTGGAAGAACTGATACCCTTTCAAGAAAGTTAGAATCATCATAGAGCTGCAACAAATGGTGGATTAATTGATTGGCTAATTAATTGGCTGGTGTTTTTATAATCGAATTATCATTTAAGTAATTTTTCAGGCACAAACATTTGATATTTCTAGCTGCTCAAATGTTAAAACTGCCATGTTGTCTTACATTATAGCAAATTGAATATTTTAGAGTTTTGGACAGTTGGTTGAACAAAACAACAACAAAAAACATGGGCATTTTTCTCTGTTTTATAGCAAACAATTTATTAAGAAAATAATCAGCAGATTAAGCGATAATGATAATTGTGTGTTGCAGTCTTAGACCAGTCTGCATTTAGAGTCTGCAGCTGTTGTCTAGTCCAGTGTTGGCTAGCTATTGTCTACAGTCTAGCTGTTGTCAGGCTATACATTATCTTGTCTTGTCTTGTCTTAATTATCGTTTGTATCAGGCATCAGCTATGACGAAAATTGAATTTCGATATGTATCTGAGGATAATATATGCACAGATACATGGGTACAGCAGTTGTAGTTATAATAGATGTTGGTGGTGATTCTAGCCCACTGTAGCTTTAATTCTGCTCTTCTCATGTATTTCCTCCGTGATTGTAGAGACTTGACTTGAGAAAAGAACTCTTACAGAGGTTAGTTTCTCAACGTTTAAACATTGTTGCGTCAGCCACTTTAATGACAGCAGAAGTGACAGTCCTACTTCTTGTGTACAAAGTCTTGGGAAACTTGTTTATTCAACTTCTGTGGATGTTCTTTTCATTTACTTGAATGTTTCTGTGAATTTTTTGTCCCTCAGCTGAGGTTTGTTACATGACCTGGCGAGGATGTCGGGCCAGAGACATACAGGGTGCAGACAGGGGCTCTTCCTTGGGCTTTTCCGTCTGCTAAACTGAGCTGTGTTGGCAGGTGGAAGTGCCTGAAATAAATTACCACAGCCAGAGTGGAGGGGGTGAGCAGAAGAAAACCCTGGCACTTGAACTGCCTTTGGGTTGTGAGGATGAAGCTTGCTTAAAGGGAAGATCTGTCTGGAAAAAAGTGAAAAGAAAATACACATAGAAACCAGAGGGCTGAGCCTCACTTGCTGTCACCACTTAAGTACATTTTTAGCGATTTTAGGTGGAGTGGGGCCCTTTTTAATTAAGTTATGCTAAACTAGTTTAGCTTTGCTTTTTTTTCCTGTTTGTAGTAAAATGGGTCATGTATTGTGTGAGTTGATTATTGTACTGCATCCTGTAAAATTGGGCTGTTGCACATGGGCACACAAAATTGCTGAAACAATACGTTTTCTATCCCCATTACAAATTTACTGGTGTTACAGAAGTTTTGACACCTCATTACGCAGAGTCCAAGGTAACATCTTCAAATGTCTTATTTTGTCCAACCAACACACCAGAGCTCAAATGTAAGTCAGTTAACAATGATGTATAACAGAGAGAAGCAGCACATCTTCACTTTGGAGAAGCTGGGACCAGACAAAACTGTAGCTTCTCATTGATAAGAGGTAAACGATTAATTAACTATGCAAATAGCTGCAGTTTATTTTTATGCTGATTGACTCCTGAACCAATTTAACATTTCAGCTTGTCATTTGTAAATAGTGAATCTAAGATCATACAGATAAACAGAATTGATATTTCTGTTCATGTGGGCATTCTTGTTTCTAACATTAAGTTTGGCCATTAAGTTTGTCATAAGTCCACCTCCTCCCCTTAACAGACTCAAGCTTAACACAGAAAACAAATAAAATCATGGATGTGAGCCTGCAGGGAGTTTTTCTCTCATAAGCTTAGGCTAATTAGTTTTTAGGATTTGGCCTTTTGGGCTGAGAGGAAATTGCACAGGGAGCAGATCTGGTGTGACTGCAGCAGGTCACCCAGATGCACAGATAGATGTGTGTTGTGGGACTGAGGGTCTCTGTGGGGCTCTTGGTGCTGTTTTGAGCCGAGCTCTGCAGGACGTGTGAATACAAGCCAGTGAATTGATGGTGGTGGTGGTGGAGGAGCAGACGGTTCAAATTCCTGCAGATTCATAATACTCCCTCAGTTCTCAGATTGCATTATTTTGCTGTCTCCCTACTCATAATTTCAGAATACGGGCATAACTTTACTGACAAGAGGATTGTGCAGTGTCTTTGCCCAAACAGTGAAGCGCACATGGAATATGAATGTGTGTGGAAAGTGGTTTTTATCACCAGCACAGTCCAGCTGGTTTAGTGTAACTCTGAGGGACAGGATGGAGTTGAATGAGAAGACAATGGAGTGGAGACATGATCACACACAGCAGCTGGAGTGTATGTGGGTGAAGCACTGCTGACGGAAGTCTCACTGGCCCTTATAAGGACGGTAGCAAACACTCAGCCTACTGTTTTTTGTTTTTTTTTTCTTTCTGCCATTTCCTGATTGTCACTCAGCTCTTGCTGTGTCTTAATCTCTCACTCTTTATCTCTTTTTCTCTGAGGAGATACACCATTAGTCACTCTGTCATGTAATCGAGGCCACTGTCCTACATGTGTCAGTGCCAGTGTCACTGAGACAAAGAGGAATGGTGAGTGCCAGGGGCCTTTTAGCTGCTGTCTCAGTGTGAGTTGCATCACTTCCCTTTTTAAAGGAAGAAAATGACAGAAGCATAAATGAAATTCCTGATAATGTGCTTCTACAGCTCAGTGGGGAACAACAGCTTTGAATAGCCTAAAACAACTTAATTCTGTAGTGCTGTTGAGTTGTATTGCGTTATACTGAGAGTTATTTCTAATATTCAATCTCTACTTATTAATAAAACAAACAAAATATTATAAACACTTCTTAGGAGTACATAGTATGATTCAACAGCTCTATAACTGTCAGTGCCATAAAATTGAGTGGGAGGATTTACCGCAGGGCTGTTGTGTTTTGAAGTCTTAGGAACTGAACTGTCTAAAGGGCAGAAAGACGAAGCAAACCCTCATATGACTGCAGAGGATCTACAGGAAAGTTTAGATGACACAGGATTGGTGGTGCACCATTCCACTGTGCAGCATTGATGCACAAACAGGATCTGATCACAAAAGTCAGCACCCTAAGGCACAGCAGCATCTGGATAAGCCAGAGCCATTTTGGAAACAAGTGCTGTGGACAGATATTTGGGAAGAAAGTCCAGCATTTGATAAAAAGAGAAAAGAACACCTTACTAAGTTAACAAGGACTGACTTAGGTGGTCCCCAGACCTTTGCACATGCCACAGTTACTGTTAAACATTTAAACAAAAGGCATTATCATTTGAAGAGCAGCTCAATTCTTAATGTCTGTTTTCAGCAGGGGTTCAATTTACTTCTTTTCACTTCAAAAATCAGTTTAATATGTCGTTTGCCCCGGGGTGCCCAAATCTCTGGGTGCAACTATATTGTTTATGTTGACCATCCTTTTCTTCTCTGGAATGCACACTTGTTGTGTTTTTATTCATTAATTTTTTGAAAAGTGATATTTTGATTGACAAAGCAAAAACACATCCGTTCCAGAATATACTCCCAGTCTGTACCACTTGGACTTGTGCCTGTTTTACCACAGAGCTGTTTGCAGGGAAAAACTTAATGTAGATAACTTGGGGCTGAATTTTCTCGTATACTTTTCTCTCCCTGGGGTCATACTTAGTAACATTTCCTGTCTGTCCTGCAGTTATTCCAAGTCCTTGCTATGTTGAAGGATTTAGTGGAGCCTGTGCTGAATGTGAATTCTCCTCTCTTGCTGTAGAGATGACCATGGCTTCAGCCCTCTCCACTGGGCATGCAGGGAAGGTCGCTCCAGCGTGGTGGACATGCTCATCATGAGAGGAGCTCGCATTAACGTCATGAACCGTGGAGACGACACGCCTCTGCACCTGGCCTCCAGCCATGGACATCGAGAAATTGTGGGAAAGGTGAGGTTCATGGAAACACTGGCGTACAGCTAGAAAGAGGGTTCCTTCCTGGTTCCTGTATCTCCACAGTAAAAGTCTTTTTAGATGATTGCCACAATATAAACTCTCTGTCATTACAGCATGACTTATAATCCAACTATGGTATATTTTTCTGAGTTGCAATATATGATTCCAACCAATATTTGTTTGAATGACCAAAATGTTGATGTATCTCTTTAAGTTTGACTCATAAACAGAGAATATTATGAAACTTAAAATGTCCTCATCGAGCAGCGATTAGAAAAACAAAGGTCTTGTCTGTTCTTGCAGTCCTGCCATCAGCAATTTTAAACTAAAGGGAGGGCTCATCAGTTTTGTCAGTGTCAAGGGAAAATGTAATGTTATAATGGCTGCAGCTATGATTATAAAACCTGCTTACTGCTACACTTATTAAGGGTAGAACAGATTTATGATATGAAAGAGGTGGTGATTTTCCTCAAAATGTTTTAATCCTTGTATTTATTCGGGGACAGTCAATTTGGCTACTTGCTAATTTCCTAAACGGACTGTGCAGTGGGGCAAATGCATCAGCTGCAGGTCAAATCTATGGCTGATTGTTGTTATATGCTGATTTGTTTCACCAAAATAAGTAATAGATAAGTAATACATTGATTCAACAATCAGTCAGTAGCTCCAGTACAGGGAGCTGGTTCAGACTATCATTCCCTGATAGTCTGTGTCTGTACAAGCGCCTATGCAGCATAAGAAAACTCACCTGCAGCACTCCTCTTAGAGTCTTTTTAAGAGACATCTCATGGCTATACATCCTGTTTAAAGGTTTGTAATCCACTGGTTTACTTTTGGAGATGCAACAGTTGACATGTGAAAGTCCAGGTGGTTGTACATTTTTAATGTCGATTTTGTAAAGCATCTCTAGCTGGTGAAATAAAGAAACACAAAGCGACTGCTCTATAATTGTATTTATTGAAAAGCATTAATGTCAGGCCATGAAAGAAATACAAAGTTAATCTGCATGTCAGTGTTGTGCACAGTACTGTTGCCATAATGTGAGGCTTCTGCTGCAGGGTGTCTGATTTAGAATAGCTGTCAGGCAGCTATTGAGTTTAATATTAGTCATGTCTCAATACCCCTGGTATGTGTCCACAGGCAAGACACACTCCCATGATTTTTCTTGGCAGCATTAACAGTCATCCCTGTATACAGCCAAAACAAGATCTGACCAGCTTTGTTTTGCACATAATCCTTTGTTTCTCTTTCTTTTAGCTGATCCAGTGCAAAGCGGACACAAATGCAGCCAATGAACACGGGAACACACCACTGCATTACGCCTGCTTCTGGGGCCAAGACCAAGTGGCTGAGGTTAGTGCGCCCCCTGCTGGTTTTAGAGAAGAGGCTTATCTATTCATGTGTCACTTCCCATCATGATAACTGTTAGGAAATATCACTGAGACCACTCCTTACTCTTTCCCAGGACCTTGTGACTAATGGGGCTCAGGTGAGCATCTGTAACAAATATGGGGAAACTCCCCTGGACAAAGCCAAACCTCACCTGCGTGAACTCCTCCGAGGTATAACTGCCCATTACAGCTGATTATTTCACCAGTTTCAAATGCATCTTAGTAGCAGCCATTCTTGTCTCTGTTTTGTTGCTCTGTGTTGATTTTTCTCATTTCTCCACCCGCCAGAAAAGGCTGAGAAATTGGGTCAGAACTTGACTAAAATTCCCTTCAAGGACTCGTTCTGGAAAGGCACCACCAGAACTCGACCCCGTGAGTCTCACAGCTTTTCTGTCAGTGTAGTGGTGTTCTAAATTTCACATGAATAATGCGGCTTTTGTCTGAACTTCAAACTGTCACTTAAGTTTGTCTCCATCTTGTGTTTTTAGGCAATGGCACTTTGAATAAACATGCAGGCATTGACTTCAAACAGCTTTCTCTCCTCACTAAAATAAACGACAACCAGTCGGGAGAGGTACTTTATATTCTTGTCTTCACTGTTTTATTGTGCTGAATATTCATGCAGAGCTGCTAATGATCAGTTAAAGGTACACGTCCTTCACTTCACTTCTTCTGTGTTTATTTCGTCTCTAGCTGTGGCAAGGACGCTGGCAAGGAAATGAAATTGTCGTTAAGTTGCTAAAGATTCGTGACTGGACCACAAGGAAAAGCAGAGACTTCAATGAGGAATATCCCAAACTCAGGTTATTATTGAATCGTGTCTTTATTACAACCCTCTGCTCTGTGCTGTTGTTGTCACTCATTTGTCTGTTTGCATTGTGCTGATCCAAACTTTATGTATTTTTTATTTTATTTTGGGGGGTGTTGCATCGCACATGAGCCGTCTGTTTATGTCAAATCCTCTGTGGTTTTGCCTCTTTCTGTCCGTCTGTCTCTCTCCCGTGTCCCTCCCTCTTGGGCTCCATCCCAGGATATTTTCCCACCCGAATGTCCTACCCATGTTGGGAGCATGTCAGTCTCCTCCCGCCCCTCACCCCATCATCATCACACACTGGATGCCTTATGGCTCCCTCTACAACGTGCTGCATGAAGGCACCAGTGAGTACTTCTACTCGGGTCACAAAGTCCGTACTTGTCACCAGTTCTGGTGGTTTGCAGGGATTTGTGATTTATTGCACTTAAGCATTTGTCATTATGTTGCCATCACTTTCTGTACAGAAGGAATTTGACTGTCAACCTGTTACGTGGTGAAAGTCCAAATGACTGAAACCAATTGTTTTGTGTTCCTCATCCTACTGTCAGACTTTGTGGTGGACCAGACACAGGCGGTGAAGTTTGCGCTGGACATTGCTTGTGGAATGGCTTTCTTACACACACTTGAACCCATGATCCCTCGCCACTATCTCAACAGCAAGAGTGTTATGGTAAGAAGAAGTTGTGATATCAGCATTGCTTTCTCAATCAGAATTACCCACTTGTTGTAATTAAATGACCTATTAAAAGAGAACTATGTTGCCCCAGAAAACTGGACAAGTAGAAAGTGATGTCTGTTACACTTTAAAGTGACATCTCACTCGGTGTTCCTCATTTCCACAGATAGATGAAGACATGACAGCCAGGATCAGCATGGCAGATGTCAAGTTCTCCTTCCAGTGTCCTGGCAGGATGTACTCTCCTGCATGGGTAGCCCCCGAGGGTAGGCATCACTCATACAGCACAGATCTAAAGTGACAACTGAAGCCACACAAGCTTGAGCGTGAAAAATAGATGCAGGGAACTTGAGACTGTCTCTGAGCCAAATGTAATCTACAGCTGATTTCCCCTTGAGATACAGTGAAATCCAAGCAAGATGGAAACATAAACTGGTTATAAAACAGGAAAGAAAATAAACAGGGAACTTTTGCAGCACTGAGGTTTTAATTTTACAGAAGGGGCATATGGAGCATGGTGGCTGTGGCTGCATGGGATGCAGGAGAGATGTTGCCGTTAGTTACCATAGAAACAGCCTACATACAGTATAGTTATAGTGGGTAGTGAGCCATGAAATTGAGAGCACAGAGAGCGTTGCTGGTGATAAGGTACAAATGCGCAGATGTGGCGGAGGTGAAGAATCTTAATAGGCCTTATCTTCAGCAAGGATGTCTTTGTGTCATTTACACCCTGTAAATAACAGATGGAAAGAGCAATGAGTGTTTAACAATCTAAGTGAATGATAGTTCAGGTATTATTAGTATTGTAGTCTATGAACAAAAAAAAAGGCTAGTTCCAGCCTGAGTTAAATATATTTAAATAATACACCACTTTAATGTAGAACTTCTATTTCTGCACTTCGGCCTAAAAGTTTGTATCTTTCCACATCCAATGAGCACACATGTAAGTGTTATCTATATACTCAGCTGAGCTTGAATAGAAGAGCTTTTTGTTGAGAGTAGAGGGAGGCGGTGTCTGTTGTGTGTTTCACTTGTTGCTCTTTGTGGTGCACAGCCCTGCAGAAGAAGCCAGAGGATATCAACCGTCGGTCAGCGGACATGTGGAGCTTTGCTATCCTGCTTTGGGAGCTGGTGACCAGAGAGGTTCCCTTTGCTGACCTATCTAACATGGAAATAGGCATGAAGGTTGGCAGAACCGCAACGTTTCATTAATTCAGGGATATCTGTCTAGAGGTTTGACAGTATCTAATGTCTGTCTGTTTTGGCCTTCAGGTTGCCTTGGAGGGTTTGAGGCCCACTATCCCTCCCGGCATCTCACCCCACATTTGCAAGCTCATGAAGATATGCATGAATGAAGACCCAGCTAAGAGGCCTAAATTTGACATGATTGTGCCAATTCTGGAAAAAATGCAGGACAAGTGAGAAACCTCTTCTGCCCTCCCCTGTACTGAACCGATGAATTACTGGATATCTTCCCCCAGATATCACTCTGATACTGTGGTGCTTGCCAGTATTGCCTTAAACTTTTCACTCTACCGCTGCATTCAACGCCACTGTAGCTTCTGCTTCTGAAATGAATCCAGCAGCAGTCAGTTCTTTTTATATTGTTTTTGTTTTCTTTTTTCAATGTGATATCAAATTTTTTTTTGGCTGATACTGTCTGCGCAGGAACTTAATATGGACTGTTCATCCTCTAAACTGTAATCATGTGGACAATCTTCTTTAAGCGACCTAATAACTTGTGGAGGTCAGCATGACAGTCTGCAGCATTGCTTCATGTGGATCTAAGGCCTTACTCTAATATGGAGTTTTAAAAAGTCACCCTACAAGGTGACTGCTCCGTTTTATAATAAAAGATATAACATATTAACCCAAAGCTTGTCTTGTGGGAAAAGATTTATGTTTGTTGTCAGCAACAAACTATGTAACAGGGCAAGCATGACACATGTCTGAAACTAAGCATTTAAACATGAGATTAATGAGAAAATGTATATGAATGAGGGCTGCCTGCAAGAGTGCATACAGTAGCAGGGCTGTGCCATTCAGCTTGGCTGTGTAGTGGTGTGTAGAGCTTGGCCTGTCTTGAGCATTGGTCCCTGACTGTATCCTGTACAAAACTGGCCATGCAAACCTTTTGTTTTTTTTCCAGTGCAGCAAAAATGTTGATGTTGATTATTGCTGTTATTATGGGAAGATTTCTTTCAAGATGCTTTGCAAGATTGCTGATTTTAACTAGATTATTTGAATTTACTGGTGTAATCTAGTTAATTTTCAGTATTTTCCCTTCAAAACAGTTTTATTATGATTTATGATTCTGCTATCTGTACTATTGAACAAAGAGTATAGTCAGCCTCTGTTTCACAATGTCGCAAAGTGACTCAAGTGTTATTTTCATTTTGAATACTTGTCGTATCAGAAAATGAATAATGCAACCCCGACTGTAATTAATCCATGGACATGTTAGCTACAGGTGTAGTTTGTTTTGTTTTCGAGCATGGAGACCGCCTTTCCTCCATGGAGACCTCCTGATGGCTACATCAGAAGCTGCTGCCAACATAAGGTGACTGGGACATTAAGGGGTGGTATTAACATCCCGCTAACTGCTCTATTGTTTTCTCACTTGATTTTATTATTTTGGGCCTCAAGGTGACTTCTGACTTTATATCAATCTCATGGGTTGTTGTTTCTTCTACCTGCATTGTTTCTGTGCCTCCACCAGCTTGCTTGTTTGTGCTGAATCACAGGTTGAAGCCAAAATCAAGAATGACTTATACAAATGTATGTATTTATATATATAAGTATATTAAAAAGGAAAAATATGGGAAATTTGAATGTGTGGATTCATAGTGGGAATTTAACATTATTGGGTAGTTTGGGAAACGTGTCATGTAGACTTTCTCTATTTGGCTCAGTGTTGAATCGTGTGTTTCATAGGGTTGACTCTTGATATAAATTTTAGTCAAATTAGCAACAGAAGGCATAAATGTTTAAATGTAGGAAATATAAAAGATAATTGCTGAAATTGGTGATCCGATAATCACTGACTAATGGCAGAAAACAATAACAAATCAAATTTGCTTTAAATGAAATTGTGTGTGTGTGTTACACTTAGGATGATGGGATTTGCTTAGGGAAATTGGACTTCCTCTTTTCCACTGCCCCTGCATTAGAGCCTAAGTAAAAAGATTTACACTTGTTTTGTATTTTATTTAAAAAAGTACTCTGTACCATGCAGGGGTGGGACTTTCCTTTCCTTTTCTCAGCTGTTTGACACTTAATAACCAGTCAGTCACACTGATGTGTCTCTCAATAACCTATTTTGACATGTACAGTGTAATGAAACATAAAACACTAAACTTCAGTCAAATCAAGTAAAAACATTTAGGAAAAGGTAAAACTGCTGATTTCAAAAACTAAAAACTAAAAAATATTGTATTTTTATTTGTATTGATTATTACTGATCATCCAGTGAATTTTAATATTCTACATGGAAGCATCTGCAGTAGTTATTATATGTATTTGTTACCCATCAGTAGTTATTTACCTGCAGCATATAATTTAAAAGTTTGACAAAATTAAGTTATGGATACAAAAAAAGCAATCTTAGAGTTTTTGTTGTTATTTATTTTCATCATCATATTCATGAGGCTTTCTTAATTTCCACAATCATCTCTGTGGTGTTCTGGATGTTGTGAGCCAGATGTTTCTCAGCACACCACTTCACGAGCTGCTGGATCTCCTCCCTGTCAGTCATCTATCTTCATGGCGTTTTCTGCAAACTGTTTGATGCCTTTGGAGTACTCATTTTTCAATCTTGTGGGACAAAGTTAGCTCACTTAAAGAAAAACAGAACATTTCCAGGTCTTTGTCATTTGCTGTACAGTTCAGTGTTTTGTCAAGCCAGTACATGAAAAGTTGACACTCTTAAGTCATCATAGTGTGTATCAATTGGAATCTGCCAACCTCACTAGCTACAATAATATGACTTCTAAATTGTGTAACTAAAGATCCTCGGCTTCTGAGTAGGACTAAGGTTAAAATTTGCTTGGTATACAAATGATATTTGCATATCAGCATGAAATTAAGATGCAGTCCCTTGTGTGTAAATGCACGCTGCGTCTTTCTCAAGTAAAAGTTCTACACTCAAAATCCTCATAAAAGTACAGGAGTATAATCAGCAAAATGAAGTTCAAGTATTGAAGTAAATGTAGGCTCACTCATAATGCAGTAAAATGTCCCCTGTGACTATCTACAGCTGTCAGATAATTGTAGAGAGGTAGAAGTATAAGGTAATATAGAATGGAAATATGAAAGTTAAATCCAAGCACCTCAAAATTGTACTTAAGTACAGTAGTAGGGTTTCTGCTGAGTACACCAAGTTAACTTTAAGACTTTTTAATACCTTTTTAATACCATGTAGAATGTAATTTACTGTCACTCATAGGCCTACCAGGCAAAGTGATGTGACCTATGATGGGCAGATTACTGATTACCAAATAACTAACTTAGTTTATTAAGTTTGTTTATTAGGAACCAAAAACACTAATCTCATGCAAAGAGAAGAAATGCCAATGTCCATAGGTAGACATAATATAAGTAGGCTCCTATCACACAATACAAGGTCCAAGGTCCAGGCATGAATTTTGCATACATCAGGTTAGAGGTCTGTAACAAGGATTTTCCAGCAACTTTTTGTTAAAATCACATATAAATATATTTTATAACTACTGTTACCGCCTACAGCAGAGTTGAAGAAATATTTAAAACATTTGTTCGGGGAAATTTAAGAGTTTTTAAATAAATTCAAAGACCATATTTGATCTGCAGATACTCTATCTACTTAAATAAATTTAGCCTAGTTAGTCCATCCACGCCCTATCTCCCAGCCACTGGCACAGAAGTTATAAATTGATGACTTAAATCCTGAGAAACTGACAATACGCAGCACCGGATCGATATGTCCTAAAACACCATAAAAGTGGATTATATTTCCTTAAATTCTTCTCCTGCTCTTTGCCTGAGGGGCAGCACTGGGCTCCAGCCGTGACGATAATCCGTGACGCAGGTTTGCCCTCCATCACCAGCCGAGCCCACTGACAGAAAACACCACCTACAGACGAAGAGAGCCCTCACGATTAATGGAAATATGTAGTTAGCTGGCATAGTTCCGCATATTTCGACAACAGGAGGTTCGGTGGAGCTGGTAAGTCAAAATTCTTATCATAAACTTGTTAAGTTATAATCACCCTACTCGCTTTTGATTTCCCTGTTAGGAGCTAACGTTAGCCTAGCCAAGATGACGACGGTGATGATGGCGGACGGTGCCCGTTATTTCCAGCTGCGGCGATGGCATCTGATTAATATCACTATATTTCAGCACATAGTCTCGTTTTAGAGCTGGATTTTAGTTAACAACCAGCTAACTGAATCTAACATGATGCATTGAGCTCATGACCGGTTCTATATTTAGCTTTATATCTAAAGAGAAAAAGGTCGTGTTGGCAAATGGAAGGTAAAACTGCTGAAGTGCGTTTCATTTTGGAACGAAAAATGTAACAGTGAAAGTGGGCACAGTAATGGGCAACCCGGAATTGACGAATGTCAAACCCACTTCAGTCTCCAGATTGAAATGTTGCTGGTTGTTTTAACGTAACAATCCATTTAACTTCGCATTTTAACATTTAATAGTGGTTGTGACAAAGTTAACGGCTCTGAATATATTCATAACCAGCAAACGCAGTGCAAATTCACGAACTCAGGTGAGAAACTCTCGACTGAATCTGTGTTAATCGCTAGCCTGCTAGCTAGCCTGCTAACGGTAATGCTAATAAATCTCAACCTCTTCCTCCATCAGAGCAGTTACATGGAAAGTTACCATGGGTGGCCATGATGATGAAGATATGCCATATGTTGTGAATAAACAAAAGCAAGATGAAGAGCTAAAGAACAAGCTGAATGACAGCAGCCACTGGTGCGACCAGGAGTCCACAGGCAACAATGCCAAATGGGTCAAAGAAGGCCAGAACCAGCTGCGGAAAGTAGCTGAGAACCAGCAGGACCAGGACCACAACTGCAATATCAGCCAAAATGGGAACAAGGAAGACTTCCCTCATCAGAATACCACTCAGGAAGAACAACAGGGAAACGAGGAGCAGACCAAGTCTCCCAAAATAGCAATGACCCCTGGTCTCAGTCAGGAGGAGTCCAAAAACATCCTTAATGAGCCGCTACTCATCGACACTCTGGAGTCCACAGAAGAGAAAGATAAAGAGAGAGAAGAGGACTGCAAAGAGAAGGAAAATAATTCAGAGGAAGATGAGGAGACATCAGGTGATACCAGAGGAGAGAAAGTGGCTGAAGAACAGAGTAATGTGGAGTCTCAGAGAGAGGGCAGTGTTGTGGGGAGAAATGCCTGCCTCCTCTTCTCCAACATGAATGGGACACCAAGTGATGAGGAGTCCAGCTGGCCTGCACTGTCGCAGGATAACACAGCTGACAGCTCTCCAAATGGCAACAGAGGTAAACATAACATACAGCTGATGTGAAGGCATCACATTCATGGTGTAATACAACATTATGCATGCTGATAAGAGCAGTTGGGGGGCACAGCTTGCACAATTAGAAAAACAAAAATGCAGATCAAAGCAACGTGCCTCACAAATGGAGAAGATATGGTAAAAAATGTTGTACTGAGCACTGAGTTGATGAGTTGCAGCTGTATAAAAGGGCAACACTTAACTTTTAAGTCCACCCATTTGATTCCACCACCAAATGGTTTATAACACACTGTAATGTAGTTGTAAGCAGATATGTTTATTAGTGTTTGTTATTAATGTATTTGTGAACAACTATAACTCCTCCGGTGAACCACCCATAAGTAGAGACTGGTGTATAAACAGATAATAAACTAGAGACCATCTTGCGATGGGATCACACCAGCCACAACGCCCGTCAAAATGTTGATTTTCTGACTCATGAGTACTCAAGTCATTACTGCATTTTTACATGAATAGTCAGAACTCAGGGGTTGGACCACACCCATCTTCAAACTCAGCCTTCATTATTATGTCAAGTACACACATCCGTAAAGTTTCGTGACTGTATCTTGCACAATTGTGATGTTGTCATGGTGACAAAATTTGTCCACAGACATAAAAGCACCCACCAAAGTACTCAAAAGTGCTCTATGGTAGTTTAGTTCTTGCTACAGCAGTAGTCTCCTGGACCACATTTTCTGATGATGACACACACACACACACACACACACACAGACACACATAAATGCACAAGGTGAGAATAATATCCCACCCCACTGTTATGGCTGGTGAACATCTGCCAGAGTACTCAAAACTGCCTCTGCGGTAGTTCCCGCTTCAGTGGTTGTCTCCATGGCCACTGTTTGCCATGGTGATACACATATTCACATAAGCAATATAGTAACAGAGTTTTAATAATTTCAAATATGCCTTATATTTGGTGACAAATACTGTGCATTACTAACAAACTTAGAATGCCCTTATCTGCTCATAACTACAACATAGTGTGTTATACACCATGTTTGTGTACTGTTTATAAATGATAAATCGGGGGACTTAACGTAAGGTGTTACTGAAAAAAGCAGGCATGTTAAGAAGTTTCCCATCTTTCCACTGCAAATTTCAAATTTTTCTTTGTTTTGTACTGTACTTGGTGTAAAAGGCCTCAAACAAATGAAAGCTAAATCTGTCATGTTTTCCATCTAATATATTGTCATAATATCAATCTGTATGGTGGAGTGCAGTGAAACACTAAAGTCTGTGCATTGGAGTCAACTTCCATGCTCTGGTTTTTGTGCAGTGCTGAT